ACAACCGCTTTGCTACCTCAGCAAAACGAAACGATAGAAACCCGGTCGTTACAGAGTGAATTAAAACTCGCACACCAATTCAGTGTTTGTGCTGAAGTTATTTCGCACAGCACATTGTGTGAGAGGCAGCCAGCTTGCCCTCGCACACAACGTGTGCAGAAAAGAATATGAGGAGCACATTTTGTGTGCAGACTTGAAAATAAAAATGCACCTATGGTAAATGTGAGGAGACGAAATGTCTACTGCACATTTGTGTGAAATGATGATTTAAAAGCGCACAATATTACAATAAATAACGCAACAAAATAGTATTAAAGACTGATTTGCATTAATTTTCGTCTTAATGCGAAATATTTTATTGAAAAAATGATTTTTTATTTATATTTTAATTTTGAATTTATTATTAGATTTACATTTATTGCTTATATTACTTATTATTTTAAGGTTTATTAATTTAAAACATGGAAATAAAGTAAATTTCACAATGCACTTGAAAACTGTGTTATAATATAAAATATAAATAGTTTATGATATATAAGTTAAATAGGTACATGAATTTAATAGAGAAAGAGTATTTGTTTCGAAATGTTATAAGTAAAGAGGATCTGTTCTACGGATCTTACTTTGAAAAAATTAAATGTATCAATTTTGGACTACTTTATAAAATTTCATTTATCAATAATCATCATTTAAAAATTAAAATAAACTTTATAGAGTATTGCTTTTGTCCTTTAAGGTGTAAGTGATTAACACGAATGAGACATAGTTTGTTTGTTTTTTATTTAAGAGTATCACTTAATAGTATTCTACCTAATCTGTTATTAGTATGCAATCATATATTTCTGTGGAAACTAATTGCTTTTTATTTAAAATTTGCACAATTTGTGCACAAATGAACAGCACACTTGTGTGCACAGAGAATATTTTGTCGCACAGTGCGGTGCGAGCATAAAATTTTCTCGCACATCTGATTGTGCACATTTTTATAAGTCAATCGCACAGCATAAATGTTTTTGTTTTTTTCTCATGGAGATTGGGAATCTTCATAGATACTATGTTCTCGACTAGCATGCACGATTCGCAGTACAAGTTACCTCGTGTTGCGCCTACGTACTAAACCCTTCACCCCGCTATCTTCAACTACTATCCCCATAGAAGTCAGCCTTAGGTATTACATCACGGGGCTGGTTAGCTATTACACTACTACTTCATTATTTTCAGCATTTCTTCTTATTCGCTCAATTCTTCTTAGTTCGTTTTGTACGGATACGATGTGCTCCATTGTTGTGTTCCAATTATCCTCCGTTGCTAACATATATTGTATTATATGTGCCGGACCTGGAAGGCATGAACTAATCGTATTGAATCGGCTGCAGTGAAATATTGCATACTCGGTATCTTCCTCTACTCCACAGCTAGGACACAAGGGGGAATTATCGTGCCCAAATCTGAACAGGTATTTTCGATAACATCCGTGCCCAGTTAAAAATTGCGTTAGATGGTAGTTTGTCTCACCATGTTTTCGTTCCAACCATACGGTGATTAGAGGTATAAGTGAGAAAGCCCATCTGCCTTTAGTGGAGTTTTCCCATCTGTTCTGCCATGCAGCTACTGAAATTTCTCTCTCATTCCTTTTAACTTGGATAGAGTTATGTTGTTCACGGATTTCCTGCCTTTTGCTGAATATTCTTCGCATTTCATCTGCCAATATATCAATGGGCACTACACCAGCTATAACAAAGGCTGCTTCATCCGACACCGTGCAGAAGGCACTTATCGTTCTTAGTGCACTTACTCTGTAAGCCGTTGTTATATTCTTTCTATTTTCAGCTATAGACAGCGATTTTGTCCAAATAGGTGAAGCATACAGCATTATGGAGCTTACTACTCGACTAAGGAGGAGTCTTTTGTCATGACCTGGTCCCCCAATATTTGGTAGAATCCTTGACAATAATGTCTGCGCCTATGCCGCTTTCTCGGATACATATTGGATATGTGTTTTAAAGCTTAATCTATTATCAATCATTACTTCCAGATATTTAATGGCTGGCTTATATTGGATTAATACATTGTCTATTATAACGTTCATAAACTCTACTCGTTTGCGGCTAGTTATAAGCACTGCCTCTGTTTTATGTTCCGCAAGTTCAAGATTCACTGAGTCAAGCCATACTTTAATCATACGTATAGCTTCGTTAGTTGCTCTTTCGACTTGTGCAATATACTTCGCTACAGTGACTACTACTATATCATCCGCAAATCCAATTATTTCACATTCCTGCGGAATTGATAACCTAAGCACTTCATCATACATAATGTTCCATAGGAGAGGCCCTAGTACTGATCCCTGCGGGACACCTGCTGAGACGTTGCGATATTGCATGCCATCATCACTTCCGTACTTTAGTCTTCTATCGATAAAGTAGCTAGACATTATTCGACACAGATAGTTAGGTACCGATAGTTCCCTTAATCGTTTAAGAATGTGAGACCAATTGGCAGAGTTAAATGCATTCTTTACATCTAGGGTTACTACTCCACAGTATTCCTTATCGCCCCAGCGCCACCTTTTTCCTTCAATGGCAGCCTTTGCCTTATCAACTACCAGTTTAATTGCATCTATGGTGGATCTAGCCTTTCGAAATCCAAATTGATTTTCTGATAATGCATTTCTCTCCTCTATGTGTGAGTTCAATCTGCTGTGTATTACGTGTTCCAGCATCTTACCCAGATTGGTCGGTGTGAGGATGGATCTTCTGACGGTTTATTTCCTTTCGGTATAAGTACAAGCCTCTGGGTTTTCCACTGCTTTGGAAAGACGCCTTCTTCTAGACACTTCTGAAATACTGCCGCAAAGCTATCTGGTATGCAGTTAATTGCGACTTTAAGCGCAACGTTAGGGATGCCGTCAGAACCAGGGGCTTTCTCATCTCCAATATTTCGGGTCCCCTGTAGCACATCTTCCGCTGTTACCGCAGGAATAACTGTCTCGCTTATGTCTTGCTCAAATAGTGCACAAATGTGTGTGCACGAGTTTGTGTGCACAATTATCGTTTTGTGCGATGTGAAATTTGAAACCGCACAACAAATTTGAGTGCGTGCATTTTTTTTCATAACACCACAAATGTGCGTGTGCATATTATAAAAATAATTTTCACTCGCACAGTGCAGTGTGCGATTTTGTGCACCACATTCCGAACTCTGTAATATACTAAAAATATGTTCAATATGATATTAAAATCTGGGACTAGATAATTGTACTGGCTAATTATAAATATTATATAATATCTTTACATGTAAAAAATTAAAATTTAAAAACAAAATTAGAAACAAATTTGTAGCATTTAACTTAATAAAAAAATAAAATTGTGATATAGTAGTTAATTTTGAAAAATATTCTTATAATAATAACATGAAATTATGTGAATTTTTATTCAGAAAACACAAGTGAAGGTATATGTAGTTAATTAAATCGAAAGGCTATCGCATTTAGAGATATATTTCCTTATATATTTGAATATAAAAAAACTATTACGAAAATTTCTGTATCTATGTAATTTAAATTTGTGCACATTTGAAAAGAGTACAAAGAAAATGCTTGTCAGAAAGTCACATATGACTTATAGCATTGACAGACGAGCGCACTAAATTATCATTAAGCGGTCTTAAATGATCATTTTGAAAATACCCTGCCAGACGGTATAAATTACCATTAAGAAGTTGCTGTAAGGAAAATCTCATCCTCTTCCGTTCATGCGTGGTGCTTGAGTTTATTAATTTGAGTCATCTAAAATCAAAAAAAATATAATATATAAAAAAAATATAAAATATATAAAAATATAACGAGTATTTACATTTACCAATGTTCCCAAATATGTTTTGTTTACATTTTGACAACCAAATAGCTTGAAATTTGTTCCATTTTTTATTTCGTTTCACTTGCATATGCAGCATTACCATTTCTAAAAGCCAAAATGACGAATAAATTGGGTTAAATTCGGTCATTTAAAGACCATAAATGATCATTTAAAACTGCTAAATGAGCAAATAAATTATAATTTAGCCCCTTAATGATAATTTAGCTCCCATCTGTCAATGCTATTACCCTTTTCAACATGAACAAAAGAAATAGTAAAATTTGTTAATTAGAAAATATGTTAAAAGTTATTTTATTACATAAAAGTTATAAATAAAAATACTTTTTTATTAAAAATAAAATTGTTGAATTTAATTAATAATAAATTAAATAATATTAAAAGTCTTTAAACTATGAATACATTTGAATATGAATATTTTAATATATAAATATAATTTATACACTCCACTCTTTTTACCTCCAAAATATTGTATTCAATTTTTGTTTTTTTTTATTTCTTATTGGATTTTTCGCATATTTAACAAACACAAATTAACACATAAGACAACTTTATTAAAATATATGAAATATATACTCACATATATTTTTGCTTTACTAATTTGTATTTATACACATCAAAGCAAACAAATTACATTAAACGCAAAACATATATTTTAAGTCCACAATTTATAAATTATTGTTTTTTTACCTTCTGTAAAAACTTACATCTCATAACGCAATCCCGCACCATCTTCAAATATTAATAATAATATTTAATAATTAATATAACAATAATTATAATAAATATAATTACTTTTTCAAAGAAACTTATTCACTACTTTTTATAACTGAGTTTGATTTGACCACGTTTTTCAGTTTGTGGCGTATTTCTCCTATCAAAATAACTAAACAATACCCAATTTGCGCTCTTCATATTGCTTTTTCGTGATAAAAAAAAATTAAGACCGTTTGTGGTGGTGAAACGTTCCGTTCGGGGTGGTGAAATTTTTCACTCGTGGTGGGTCGAATTGCAACAACAAAACAACATGCTTGGTTTGGTAGTAATAAATTATTTTGAGAGTGTATTGGTTGGTTTTTTTGTTTACATTTAAGTTGCCGTTCTTGTACAAGTATTCTTTGGTTGAAAGAAACTAGTAAGCGGCCATATGTACATAGTTTAACACGTGCTTTCGGATTTATATGCAATTAATTCTTGATGATTTTGGTACGCTTGGGGCTTCTCTGTTTATTATAATGTGAGTACGAAATAATTAACTACATTCGGATTCCTTGTTTATTATAATGTCAGTGCGAAATAGTTAACTATATTGTGATTAATTAAATTTTGCAAAATTCGGACATGATATTACTTTACTTGTTTCTTTATCGGTGAACCGCCACAATTGAGCCAGGATATGGCATTTTTTAATACGTATATCGTTAGTTCTATATTAATAAATATAAGATTCAAAATTCTTATGGAAAAGATTAGAATTAAAGTTTTCATGCATACTATGTATGTCATACACTTGCATTATATAAATAAGTTTTGTATTATCCGTTATTAATCTGGCATAGACATTTCTTAAAAGTTTTTGTTTTGGCGCGTTTAACCGTGAACTAAATGTGTCGAAATTGAAAAAGTTTCTAATTATTTAAAGGGAAATTATTTTTCCGACAACTATTGTGTATCCCAATAGTTTAATATATAAATATTTGTACACAAAGTGCCAAAAAGAAAAAACATCAAGAGAAGCTTTCATAAGAAATTTTAAAACATAATATATATTTTTATTAAATGTGATTTTGCACTCTACATAAAATATATTTTTTTTTGTAACGAAATTGTAATCTAAATTTGTTATTTAGTGTCCCAACATTAAAAATGGGTTATGGGCGTCCGTTGTTATATATGTCATTGCCCGGACTAGCGTTCATTCTAGGTGTGTTGTGGTTCCGTCGTCGATGTAAAAATTTGAATGACAAAAAAGATGAAAGTGAATCAAATACAGATACTTATTTAAAAAATGGATCAACAGGGGATCATGCACAATTATGTCCAAAAAATAGTATTCAAAATTTTATGCCAATTATTACTAAACCCGTGAACATAGCTGAACATATTTATCTGGAGGAACAAATTTCTGCACCAAAAATATTTGGAAAATCTGCACCTATCAAAATTCAAAATAGTAGAAATACTTTTACTGATATGCAATCTCTTCAGCAGCAGGACGTTGACTGTCAGACACTTAATTCGAGAATCAAAAACACTCAACACAAAATTGTGAACTGCATCGATGAAAGTTTTGATAATCATACATCTCAGATAAATTTACCAGATTCTTGTAATTATAAGAGTCCTCTTCAGACTCATAATAAATGTTTTAAATATAATAAACCTATTATAATAAAAGCAAATATATCGCCAAAAATATCACCTGAAAGTTCATTTATTGACAGTAATTATATTGAATATGAACGAAAGAACTGTAATGTTTTGGGAAGTTCAAACAATATCAAAGTTAAGGATACGGTTAAACAAACGGGAAAAAAAGTTATACATAATAAGCGTTGCATTGAAGCATGCGGTTTGTCAATAAGTATATGCAGTGATCATTCTGGTGATTCTGGTAAAGGGTCTAGTTTACCTCGACCAGGCGAAACAAGTACAAAACTCGCTTACGAATTTTTTCTCCCTAAAAGTTTATTTGGAAAATTGTCCGGACATCATGGCAGTTTTATTACCAAGATTAAAACTAAAACTGCAGTAAATATACAAATTCGTAAAAATAGATTTGTAGAAAAATTGGGAATTTGCATCATTGAAGGGTCGGAAAATGAAATTAATGAAGCTCTGATGATGATACGTAATCGTTTACCGCAGCATAAATACCCAAATTTTACTATGGAAAGAATACATTATGCACTTCCACAAACTATAGTTCCACTTTCGACACAAAGTTTATTTAATTTGCAAGTAAGTAGCATTATCATGCTTTTTATAATTTTTTATTTTTGTAACTTGTCTTCAGCTGTATCTGATAGAAGGAATAAACAATGATGTACTGGTAAGTGCCGTAGTAACAAGTGGTCACATATTTGTGCAACATCCTCTTCATCCTTCAAACCCGCATTTAATTGGACTTCAAAAATGTCTATTAGAAAGTTATTCAACCACAGAAGCGCCTCCTTTACCGGGCATTGAAATTAGTGCAGTATGCGTGATGTCTGTCAATGGAATGTGGTATAGAGTTCAAATAACTGATCGTGAGGCTGAAAATGAGAATAGATGCATAATAAAGTTTTTAGATTTTGGAGGATATATGAATGTAAACTTTCATGAATTAAGACAAATTCGGTCAGATTTTATGCTGCTTCCGTTTCAAGCTACTGAATGTGTTTTATCTAACATTGAGCCAAAAGGTAATATACTACACATGAAACATTTGCAACTAATACACATATCAATAATTTAGGCTTCACTTGGTCAAAAGAAGGCGCTGATATTTTGTGCAAATTAACTAGAGGAATTGTATTGCAAGCTCAAGTTGCTGGTTACAATAGTCATAACATACCCGAAATATATTTATTTGCTTGTTTAGGTCCAAATGTGAGTATATTTTTACATTTGCATGCAGTAATAGAGTATAGTATGTTTTAATTATAATATATGTAGCTTTTTTTCTTTTAAACTTCTCTGAATCAGAATATAAAGGCTGTTCTAGTTATTAGTTTAATAATTATTTTATTAATTAATTCTTCCATCGTATATTGCTTAAATATTTGACATTATTAATATTAGGCTTGTTGCTAACTCTATTTCTGTACGTTCATTAAATAGTTAAATTAACTAACAGTTAAAATAACTTAATTTTTTTTTATTATGTTTTTATTTCTCAAACAGTTTTTTATCTATCTATTCACAATTATGAGTTGTCATTTATACATTTTATAAATTGGTACATAGTTTTTGTAGAAAATGTGTCAGTATCACTTAACACCCGGATTTGTATTTGATAAGTATTCTAATTACAAATCCAATCTTGTATTGTTATAAAAATTTTATTTATTGTATTTAATTTAAAAATTTTAAAAATAAGTTTTTATAATATATAAATAAATATATAAATTTATTGTATATAATAAAATCCGTTATTAATAAAATTATAAGGTAATGGCTGTAGGGGGACGGATGCCTAGAAAAATAATATTGTCTTAATAGCTTGCGAAATAATAGCGTTACGTGAATTGAGAGATATTGTTATTTATTTAATATAAATATCTTTTGTTTTAATAATATGAATAACAGGTGAAGCGCAAGAATTTTTTGATTTTGTTGTTTGAAAATGTTTTAACACTAGTTAAATTTTTGTATAGATGTATTAGTTTGGACTAATCATTGATTCATTACTGCATATACAAGACGATAAAGTCGATGAATATAATATAAACAATATAAATATAATGTATACAATATATACAATACAATTTAAACAATCAATGATGAATACTAAAAAGTTTATTAAATTATCTTTTATTAAAAAGTTCAGCACAGAAATAATTCAGTAACAATTTGCATTGTGTTAACGGTATGTCAAAAATGTCCACCTTTTCTGGCTAGCTCGTCTTCTTTGCAGTTGAAAAAAATATCTCTATGACCGGGAACCCAGATTAATTTAGAGATATGTAGCATCCAAAACCCGTCCTATATGTAAATTGGTCTGAACTTAAGTACTTTAAAGCAGCTTGACTGTCTGATAGTATGCATATATTCCTGTTAAATATATCATCCACTTCCAGACAGGCTATAGCTTCCCTAAAGGCGAACACTTCTACATTTGGAAGTAGGAAGATTTTTTCAGTTCCTCTGAGAAATCTTCACTCTCTACACTAATGCTTGTTTTGATCCGTCAGTAAAAATGGTTAAACTCTCTTAAAGAGGGACCTCCTGACAACTATATATCTCTGTATAGAAATTTGTCATTGAATTTTCTGTCGAAGTTGAGAGTGGGAAGGATGTAGTCAATTTTGTTAGGAGTAGAATTGAAAAGATCAAGTAACTGCAGCTTCATTGTGAGACAGACTTAAGTCTGAAAGCAGATGAAACTGCGATTTGTTTACTAATAATATCTAGTGGCAGTAAATGAAGCATCAGATCTCGTCCAATGGATGGTGCGGTACACAAGGCCCTACAGATTTCAGCTCTATCATGAATCCTGTTGAGTACCGAACAGTACGAAGATTAGTCAAGAGGTGTCCACTATATGGTTATCCTATATAATAGTAAAGGTCTAGTAACAGCTTTATAAAGCCATTGAGTGATGCGTGGTTGTAGTCCCCACTTCTTACCAATAACCTTTTGACATAACAGGAGCCCAATGTTGGCTTTCCTAGCGCGGCCTGAAGTGTTTTGCTTCCATGTTAGTTTTCTTTCAAAAACAAAACCTTTTAATTTTTCTTCTTAAAATATATTGTAAGTCCTCGTATAGAGGATGTAGAAAGATTGGGGTTCGTATGTTTTCTGGTGAAAACTACGATTTCGATTTTGTTGGGATTGATCCCACAACTACATTTTTATGTCCATTTGTTAAGGATATTGAGACCATTTTGCAGAATATCCATAAGAGTGGTAGCATTTTTTCCAGTGACCATTATCAAAATATCATCTGACTGGGATTTACAACACATATTATTTCTGCAACAATAATACTTTCTAGAGCCTTCAACATGACTTGTAGGACGAAGCTCATTGTGCTATTACGAGAGGTTTAGTCAAGGGGGATTGCATTTCCTACTAGGTCGACTAGGGAGACAGGCTTAATTAAAAACTTCGTTGAGCACTCAAGATGAGGAATTTGGTTTTCCTGATCATCAGTGTTCCCTGGGAGTTCGGAGGAAATACTTGACATCAGCTTATTTACAGCTGATTTGTACTCTGTCCAGTTAATGTTCTTAACATATCTGTGAACGTTTTTTGATTGGAGTTAATTGATTCATATAGTGTTAGGTTAATTTTTAAAATCATATGGTCTGAGAAGGAGTGTTTAGTAGACATTTTCCTATTCTTAGGCGATTCATGATGCTTGGCTGGCAGTAGCGAATGTAATGTCTAACACACCTTGCCTGTTTAATGGCCTATTGCCATCATTTCATATAAAAAAATGGTTGCTAAAAATAAAATCAAAACGTCACTCATCTCTTTTATTTGTATTTGTCCTAAACCTCATGATGAGCATTGGTATCACAGCATAAGCTCAGCTCCACCCCAAATTTTCTGGCGCCGCTTATTAGCTGTATCAGGATATGCAATAATAGTGCAGCGTGTCATGCACTAAAAACCCGGATACTGCCCATATTTGCCGCTAGGAGTCCTCAATACTTACTGCGGCTCGGAATTTGTCCTTTCGCAAAGACTTTGAGTTTTGCGGCTGGCCATACCTCACCTATTCTGGAGATGGCAATGTGAAATCGATTAACATAACGTTAATCTGCACAAGCAACTAGTTTAACATGTCCCTTGAAATATCCACTGTTGCGAAATTTGGGAATAGTACCTGGAAAATCCTTTAGAATTTACAATGTAAAAATCTAGAACCTTGAGTTCGATTTGGATTGAGATCTCATTTTCCTGGGGTAATAATGCCATCAAGGTTATTTTCAGTGTGTCGCTAAAGGACTTAGTAGTGGTGGCATTGAAACGAAATTTTGACTTTTTGGCATCAGGCTTAAAAATTTACTCATTTAATGAGTACTGACGCTTGTAACGACTAAAATTTTATCATTTAAAAATTTAGTGTTACAAATCTGCCGACACAGCTGACTACAGAAATCAACATATCACATTTTGCGAACGTACAAGCACAACACGGGTAAATAATAAACACAGTTCATACTTATGTTAAAAGGAAAACCCACTTGGTTAAAACAAAATGCTGACTATAAAGACACCTGTAACAAAAGTAGTTAATTAATATTTAAAATATCAAGAAAACCAATGCTACACTTGAAACCAGAACTGGTACACTTGAAAATTCTGAAATTACATGAAAATGATTTGATAATGCGTAAACAAATATATTTGAATAAAAGAGTGCTATACATACCTTGAGTTATTGTTTTTTTTAATATTTTAAATTTGGTTTTCTGGAAGTAATAAAATAAACCACTTTCAACGTCAAACATATGTGGAAACAAATTTTCTTAAAAACCAAAACAAACTAACAATAGAAGAAATGCCAAAATAGGAAAGCTTTTGTACAAAGGTGTGGAACTAGATCAAAGTTTAGGCAAAGAATAACTTCCAGCTTCCACACAAGTGACAAATGACAATTCGCCATAAAGCTGGGCTTTCGCTTGGTTCATTTCAGGGGAACATAAAATGAGCCTTGCCAACAGTCAAAAAACTTCAACGTATTAACGGCGGGTACCGTTGATTGTTGACGATATAAAAAGTGCGTGCACCAAGAAGAATCTATATTGTTTCTTTCGACAGCGAGGGTATCAAATACACTCTTTTTTTCGACGTGGGATACTTATGTCTATTACGAGGGCTGCTATATATATTTCCGGCTTAGGCAACACTAAGTGTTCCCAGGTGCAGTCTGAAATTTCCATTGGGAAGGTTGACATTTTTTTTAGCCTGACATTACTCAGAACGTGTTGTCATTTAATTGTGAATTGTTTTATTTACAGAGACTTGAAAAATTCATCTCGCCCAAAAAATGGAATTAACACGTGAACATTTTCGTGGGATCATTTTTCACAACTTTCGACGTGGATTATCACGGCACGAGTGCATTGATGAACTTAAATCTTTGTATAGCGATGAAGCACCATCCTATAGCACTGTGAAAAACTGGTTTAATGAATTCAATCGTGGACGACGCTAGCTCATCGACGAATTCCGTGAAGATCGTCCAAAAACGATGTTGTGCCAGAAAACATTGATGCCGTGCGTAAACTGATAATACAAGATCGTCATGTGACATACCGTGAGATAGAGGCATTCTTGGGCATTTCTCCCACCAGCATACATTCGATATTGCATAAACATCTGGTCGTAAAAAAGGTTTTTTCTCGTTGGATCCCGTACAATTTGACAATCGCTCAAAAAAAAGGCTCGTGTCGATTGGTGCAAAGAAATGTTGAAAAAATACGTTCGCGGTGCTTCTAACTCAAGGCTTTTATATAGAGCTGCATTGAGTTGTCTTCCTCGTTGTTTTCCTTAATTTGGAGCCCCAGGAAGTTTTTTTAGCATTAAAATCTCCAGTTGCTAGAAATTTCGGTCCTAACGAATCAAAGTATTTTGTAAAACGATATTTTAGCGATTCTATGAGGGCAATATCTGGCAGATAACATTAGTTTCATTTGGGCGATAAGTATGCAGATAGTGGTAGTTTGAATATGTTTTTCGGAAAGTTGCTCTAGTTTATAATGTCGCATTGTACTTCTGATAAAATTACCAGTATCTTGTGGGCCTTACTTACCCGGATATTTAGTGTCATAAAAGAAATGTAGACGAGTGTAGTTTTTACACGTTAAGTGTATCTCTCGAATTAGTATACGTGACGACTGACTTCTAGAATATTGTGGTTTAAGATTTTCAAACGTTCAGTCTGCTCTCAGTATTCTGGAAATAAGCGATTGATTCTGGACCATACTTTACATCATAGACTGCATCATGCTTGCATCTATTTCATAAACTTGTCCATCCTTTGTATAAAAGAAGAAAAAATAGGCTGCATTGGAGTTCATTGTTTTTGTTTCTCTGATCTGGAAATTCCATCACGGTATTAGCATACGATGTTTTTGGAAGCTCATTTGGGGCAGTGTATTTATCAGATTTCGGAATGTGGTGCACAAAATCGCACACTGCACTGTGCGAGTGGAAATAATTTTTAAAATACGCACACGCACATTTGTGGTGTTAAGAAAAAAAATGCACGCACTCAAATTTGTTGTGTGATTTCAAATTTCACATCGCACGAAGCGATGATTGTGCACACAGATTCATGCACACACATTTGTGCTGTGCGACTGACTTATAAAAATGTGCACAATCAGATGTGCGAGAAAATTTTATGCTCGCATCGCACTGTGCGACAAAAAATTCTCTCTGCACACGAGTGTCTTGCTCATATAACGATTGCACAAATGTGCACAAATGTGCGATTGCACAAACATGCACAAATGTGCGATTGCACAAACGTGCACAAATGTGCGATTTTGCGTTTGCACCCAAGGGTGGAAAAAAATTACAGGAACTTCACAATTTTGTTTGAAATAGAAAATATTATTTTGTTGCAAATTTTGAAAAAATTGATATTTGCGTTCGTTGGGATTGTAACTTATATATATATTAATATTAAAAATTAATTATTAAAAATTGCATAAATTAACAAATATTTAAAATAATTATTTTTGTTATGTAATGTTAATTAAAAATTATAACTGTCTTAACCTTATTTGTATTTTAACTTAAAATATTAGTTTTTTGTATATTACATTCCAACTTTTGTACATTTTTAAATGCAAATATAGTAAGTGAACTTAAAGTATTTGTTTGGAAAGTTTTGCACCAGTTTAAAAGAAATAAAAACATATTTTAGGAAGATTTTTTTATGCCCAAAAAATATGTATTTACATAGGTAGAGTATCTAACATTCATTAAAAAACGCGAAAGATTAGGAAAATATTTTTTTGAACAGGTAGCAGGATTTTAGCGCCCTTTCTACTGTGCTAAGTAAGCAGAGATATAATTTAAGTGAAAAAAATATTTCAGCAAAGTTATTAATAAGATTAAATGAAAATTTATTTCAAAAAATATGTAATAAAAATTGTATATTTTTTAATAAGAAATTAAGATATTAAATTATTAAATTATTTCAATAACTTCGTTAAATTTAAGCTGTACTTAAAGATAAAAAATTAAGTGAAATCTAATAACAAAATTAATTTATGTTGTTGTAAAAAATATTTAATTTGCTTTTTATAACCTTACTAACGAATCTTAGTGTATAACTTACTATTAAATAAAATTTTATGAAGTAGTCCAAAATTGATATATTTAATTTTTTCAAAGTACGATCCGTAGAACCGATCCTCTTTACTTATAACATTTCGAAACAAATACTCTTTCTCTATTAAATTCATGTACCTATTTAATATAACAAAGTTTTCAAGTACATTGTGAAATTAATTTTATTCCCATGTTTTAAATTAATAAACCTTAAAATAGTAAGTAATATAAGCAATAAATGTAAATCTAATAATTAATTCAAAATTAAAATATAAATACAAAATCATTTCTTCAATAAAATATTTTGTATTAAGACCAAAATTAATACAAATCAGTTTTACGTACTATTTTGCTGCGATATTTGTCATAATATTGTACGCTTTTAAATCATCATTTCACACAAATGTGCAGTAGAGATTTCGTCTCCGCACATTTGGGTGCATTTTTATTTTCGAGTCTGCACACAAAATGTGCTCCTCGTATTCTTTTCTGCACACGTTGTGTGCGAAGGTAAGCTGGCTGCCTCACACACAATGTGCTGTGCGAAATAACTTCGACAGCTTGAGCTTTTATTTTAATGTCTTCTGCATTTAACGTTATATAGCCATTTAAGCCGTTTTTACTAAGTAGTGAATGTCGCCGTATAATATTTTCACAATTGATCATACAATATTTTTTTTTATAATATAATTACAGTTTGATGATCACTAATATAATAATATATAGTAAATAAATTTTTTAAAAAGCACTTAAAATATATACTCTGACAATGCAACATTTATAAATTGTTGCTTTCGTTAAAAAACAAATGCTGTCTATCAGCTGTTTTGTACGTAGTAGTATCAAATCAAAACACAATTATTATTTTGATGTTTTTATGCACTTTGGTTTTACTTTTTGTAATTAAAATAAACAAACCGCTTAGGCTATCGCGGATCGCAAAAAAAAAACCAACGTACATCACACAATAAACACAAATTTTTTAGGGACGATAAAATTTGCTGTGTACGATTTTGTATGTTTGTTTTATTTTATTTTATTTATTTATTTATTTTAGTTATTTATTTATTTATTTTATTTATTTATTTTTTTATTTTATTTATTTTATTTATTTTATTTATTTTATTTATTTTATTTATTTATTTAATTTATTTATTTTGTTTTATTACATATTACTAAATAAGAAGTTTCCTAATAATTTCATTGCGAATAATAACCACAAATCTGGAAAAAAAACCCGATTTTATTTTCAATTCCGAAAACTTCATTGAAATCCGATTAATCGGATTCTCCAGATACTTCATAAAACTGAATGCGAACAACACTAACCAAGATCGTAAAATGCCCAATTATGTTTTTTTTTGAATATCAAAGAAAGAAAGGACAAACTCAAAAATTTATTTAATTTTATTGAAATTTGGCTGACGCTGTTTCGAGTATTACCAAGTACTCATCATCAATGGTCTTAGGAAGTAATCGAATTTTTAATTAGTTTATAAACCGAATATAATTTGTTTGGACTGTAAGTGCCAGGCTTAGAACTCGTGCCTGTCAAATTAGAAGCGATAACTAATCGTGTTTATCCACAAGTATCCAAGGCTGCACAAACTTTCAGTGCTCTAGTTCCAGGTTTTTTGTCAGTTATTTATTTAATTAGCGACATTAACCAAAGCACTTGCCGTGCTTTAAATTAGAACGAGCTTATAAACTACAGCTTTATTTAGAAACACAAGTTCAACGAATTAAAAGTTAACATTTGTGTTTGCTTATTTTTATTTCCAAAGCTATTCTTTTTGCAGAGACATTTTTACTATATGTAAAGCGTTTTTTGACATATTAATTTTATTACAGCGTTGTATTTCATAAGTATATAACAAAATACACACCTTAATAAATATTTTTTTTATTTTCAGAATATTGTATTCATCAATAAAGAGCTTGTTGCACGAAACTTGGCAAAATGGGTAGAATTACGATATTGATGTTTTAATATTAATTAATATAAGTATCAAGCAAGGTGCGCAGAAATGGTAAACTAAAAAATAATCAATTGTTTTGTTCGAAACAATTATAAAACTAATTGCGAGCCTTAATGTTTGAAAATTTGGTTTATATTTGTGTATGAAGTGCATATGTATAAAAATGTATTACTTTATAAAATCGGTTAAATAGAACATGTAATGTAATAAAGTACTAAAATAGTTTTAGTAAAAATAACTAAATCATATATATGTCCAAATCAGTGCAAAATTTTTGCAAAAATAATTTTTATTTTTATTCGTGAAACTCACTAATCTTTAAGCAGCTTTTAAGAAAAAAATTTTTAATAATATCCAGTTACTGTGAATATAAAAAAAATTTGCTTTGTGTATCCTTTTTTAATGAGTTATCCATTATAAATTAGTATATGTAATTGTTTACATGGTAAAAATTGGACTTATTTGAGTATGTGATTTTTAAAATATTTAAATAAAGTATGAAAATCGAATACGAATAAGTAGAACTGATTTTTAATAATGTGAATGTATTTTGGTAAAATTTTAATACATCAACATTAAAACTTAATAGCGCAGCAAAGTGAAACTTTCAGTTTTGAAAAGTAGAGACGTTGGCTACATTTGTTAATATCAAAGCAAAAGTCTGGTTTCTGAATAAAATTTCATATTAAATATAAATTAGATAATTGCATTACTATTTTTATTGTTAACATAAACACTGGTACATAAAAAAAAGAAATCAATAATAATATTTTAATTAATTTTGCACTTTTTTCTAAAGCTCCTATAAAATTCAATGTATCAAGGGTTTGTTTTTTTTTATAGTTTTCGCCTCAGCATACTTCATATTACACATTGTATGGAATTATATGCAAATGATTTTATTTTGTTTCAATTTAAAATAGGTGGATACTTTTATTACAGAAAAAACTTAGGTCAAAAGTTGTTCAGAGGAGTTGGGATTTTTATTCTGCAAAACCATCACTTTTTAATTAGACAGCACTAGATATTAGAAATTTGTACAGTTGTTTTTAATGGTGTTATAAAAAATATTGGGAGATGCTTTTAATGATTCGAAATGCAAAAAAGTCACTCTATCATATATAACGTATTTGAGTTCTGCATATTGCTTTTATAGATTTTCAGGTTGCCTATGTCTGTAGTTTTCAATATTTTCGGTATTCGGTAAAGTGATCAAATGACAGACACTGGATTGTCACTTTTCAATTCCTTCACGGTATAGTTTTAAAATAAAATTGCAGCTAATTTTGTTTATATTTACATTATATTATATATATAGAGCAAGAAAAAATTTAAAAAAAATTAATTTTAAAATTATAGTAATATTTCAAATTCGAAACTATATTTAAGTTTTCTGCAACACTTTAGAATAATAAGATGTTGTACCGAATACTGCAAAAAAAATTAGATCTGATGCCTTTTAAATACTTTTAATTCACTTATAAATACCATTAACAGATCCTGCGAAATAAGTTACGGCTTATTAAATAACAGCATTGCGGTTTCTTTAATGTTAGATATATTTTTATTATTATAAATCCACATACAATTAGAATAATCATATTAATATTTTTGTTGGCCTGAAATAATACCATCAAGTGTTATTTTAAATTCGTACATTAAATTCGTATATATTCCAATTAATCTTAATTCAATTTATTTTTGTATAAATAAAGAAATTAAAGGTACTAAGAGCATAAATGGGATTGAAATGTTCCATAAATTGTTTGAAGTACAACATTTGCTTGAAAAGAAAAATTTTAAACGTGTTATATTATGCATCATTTTATTTGAAAATATCTAGTATTTATTGCTGTGCTGTAGATTAACCTTGTACGAGTTATTGAAAAACAATTACTATTAAGGCAATCAAAATATGCATTAATATTTTTAAATACTGATTTGATTTTTTGAGCAAATCAGTTTTCAAATTTTCTTGAAAAAGTTCCAGCTCATTAGCAGTAGTTCGCTTGCTTTACAGTCGAACTTGCATAACCTTTTTCAACTACTTGTATCTTAACAGGAAAATAAATATACACATATATTAGAAAAGTGAACAGAGTGTTTAATTTGGTAGTAAAATGTTTTTGTGTTACATTATTTCCATAAGAATAAATATGTATGTTCTCATATAAATGAAATCATATATACATATAAACATGATCAAATGAACTACAAAATCACACAAACATTTGCTTGCATTAGAAAACAAAATACTTAATGGTTAAAAATAGTTTGTTACATATATTTTCATTATATTTTAAATTATTAATCGTTTTTATAAGATTTATTGCTAGACATCTATATGATTTAGTTATAAAATAACTTATAAGTTACATCATTAGAATGTAAAAATTATTTCAGTTTTTACGATATGTAATATAATCGTGTTTTTCTTTCTCGTTTTTATATTTACTATGTAATAATTTTAAAGTTCATTTATATTTTTCTTTTACAAAATATCGTTACAATCATTTTTAAAAATATACCTTTTATTGCAATCTAAAATAAATTTTTTTTGGATTACTTTAAACTAATCTATTAAAAATATTTTTTTTTTTTGAGAAGAAACTTTAATTGTGGCTATGATTTCAAATATTAAATAAAATATTAATTAAAAACTAATTAATTGTGTCAATTATTTTTAATTTATTTTTTAATATTAGGTTAATGTTATTCAACGAAAATCCTTAATACTTTAATTCTCTCATTGCGCAAATCAAAATTCAGTCTTTTTAAAAATATAGGAGTTTGTTCCCTATTCCCAAGTTTGCTATTCTGAATAATTTGGGAATGGGAGTTTTGTTCCCTGTTCCCAATTTTATTTTTTTGAATCGCATGGGAATAGGATTTTTTTCTCAATTTTGCACAAACTCTTTCCAAAGCAAATTGTTTAGGAGACAAGTTAAAAAAGTATAAAAAATAGTTTAATTTAATATGAAAGGAACTGAAAGTGATCAGATTTTTGAATATACCTTGTGATCAAAACAAAACAAGAATTTTAATTTTTGAATTCCCGCGCTTATCCAATCGGTAATTTTTTTTCATTTTCACGCTGGCAACACTATTATACACATTTTGTCCAAGTTTAACGCATATTAGTTTTTGTTTGACGTCTATACAAAGAAGTCGAAAAATTTTTGTGTGGCGATTTTTATAATGGACCAAAAATTAGAATAACGTGCGTGCATCAAATTTTGTGTTGCAAATGGATTCAAGTGTGCGAAACGTCGCAACTACGAGTATACGAATGGTTTAAAAGGTTCAAAGACGGTCGTACAAGCTTGGACCATGATGAGATCCCTGCCCGCCCAACGACATCTGTTACTGAAGCAGATCGTGTTGGAAAATCGTTGTGAATGGATTAGAGAGATTGCAGTGTTGTTGGGCATCTCATATGGATCGACCGAACACATTTTAACTGATGTTTGGGTTTTGGGATAGTCTTCATACTTCCTTCATACTTCAATTAGTGAACTGATAATAGTTTATGATTGTGCAGATGTTACAATAAAAAAGAAGCAATGTTTTACCTGCACATAACATAATTGCAAAAGTTTATTTTAACTTATTCTAGGAATCCCATTCATTTCAGAATTTGGTCTCCTTTCATTTTTCGATTGTTTTAAAAACAATAGTTAACACTTTAATTAGTGAAAAAAACCCGTGTGAATAAAATAAATAAATAAAAATTTAAATATTTCAAATTTGTTATACTTTTATTAAAATAATAATTTTAATAAAATATATTAAATGAAAATTTTGTTATATTAAATTTATTAAAATAATTTTATTAATATATATGCGGAAAACTAATCAACTCTTGTGGATAAAATAAAAAAATAAAACTTTGAAAATATTAAATTTATTGTAATAATTTTATTATAATAATAATTTTATTAAAATATATTCAAAAATCTGATCATTTTCAGTTACTTCTATATTAAATTAAACCACTTTTAATACTTTTTTAACTTGTCTCCTCAACAATTTGCTTGGGAAAGAATTTGTGCAAAATTGGGAAAAAAACTCCCATTCCCATGCGATTGAGAATAGCAAAATTGGGAACAGGGAACAAAATTCCCATTCCCATGGGATTTACAATAGGCCTGATGATCTGAACAAGCTTTGAGTAAACAGTTTTATATTTAAGTTTAAGCTATTTGAATATAAAAGTAGGAGCATTGCTCACTTAGTTTAGAATTCTTGTTACGAACTTCATGAACGGAACAACTACTAGTGGTATATATTTTTTAAAAAAACTAAACCGGCTTGCTTTTATTAATTTACATATATAATGTTATTAAAATAAAATAAATTTTATTAAAATAAAATAAATTTTATTAAAATAAAATAAATTTTATTAAAAAAACTAATCAACCCTTGTGGATAAAATAAATAAATAAAACTATGAAAATATTAAATTTATTATAATAATTTTATTATAATAATAATTTTATTAAAATACCTTATGATCAAAAAAGAACGAGAATTTAAAAAAAAAACGCAAAATTTAAATTTTTAATAATTTTCTTCATTATCGCCATCAAAGTACTATCCTCCTGCGGCAATACATGCATGCCAACGCTTGATTCAATTTTCCACACAAGTTTTATAGGCCGCCGAGGTATAGCCTTTAGTTCACGCAGCGAATTCTCTTTTTGGACCGACTTTGGCGTTCCCTTTTCGTTTTCAGATCACCTTCGAAGCAACATTCGGTCGATTGTTGTTTGGTGGGCATGTCAAATTCATAGACCCATGTCTCATCACCAGTTATGATGCGTTCGATGTATGTGGGGTCACTATCTGCATTGGAAATCATCTCTTGGCCACATCATAACGACGCTTTTTTGAATGAAGTTTAGTTTCTTTGGCACCAGCCGAGAAGCGACGCGTTTCAAACCCAAAACATCAGTTAAAATGTGTTCGGTCGATCCATATGAGATGCCCAACAACACTGCAATCTCTCTAATCCGTTCACAACGATTTTCCAACACGATCTGCTTCGCCGATTCAATGTTTTCTTCAGTAACAGATGTCGTTGGGCGAACAGGGATCTCATCATGGTCCAAGCTTGTACGACCGTCTTTGAACCTTTTAAACCATTCGTGTACTCGTGGTTGCGACGTTTCGCTCACTTGAATCCATTTGCAACACAAAATTTGATGCACGCACGTTATTCTAATTTTTAGTCCATTATAAAAATCGCCACACAAAAATTTTTCGACTTCTTTGTATAGACGTCAAACAAAAACTAATATGCGTTAAACTTGGACAGAATGTGTATAATAGTGTTGCCAGTGTGAAAATGAAAAAAATTTATCGATTGGATAAGCGCGGGAATTCAAAAATTAAAATTCTCGTTCTGTTTTGATCACAAGGTATATTCAAAAATCTGATCAATTTCAGTTCCTTTCATATTAAATTAAACTATTTTTAATACTTTTTTAATTTGTCTCCCAAACAATTTGCTTTGGAAAGAGTTTGTGCAAAATTGAGAAAAAACTCCTATTCCCATGCGATTCAAATAAACAATATTGGGAACAGGGAACAAAACTCCCATTCCCAAATTATTCAGAATAGCAAACTTTGGGATAGGGAACAAACTCCCATTCCCATGCGATTCAGAATAGGGGTGATTATTTTCGTGAGTACCTTCTTGAGATAGTGTTCTAAACTTTATTTTGACTGTCCGTTGGGTGACTAGGATTAAGGAGAGCGCCTCATGTAATTTGCAGCACCTGTGTAAGGCTTCTCACAGGTTGGACTGAGGAAAAACGTCATATGAAATTTGTCGTCCCCGTGATTTGGCGTGAACATATAAATCATTTTTGAAACTGTTATTTTTGTTTAACAAAAATTAAAATTTGAAATTTGCCGCCCCATGATTTGGCGTGAACATATAAATCATTTTTCAAACTGTTATTTTTGTTTAACAAAAATTAAACCGAAGTCAAAACTCACAGTAAAATATCAAAACAACCTGCAATTAGCGATACGACCAGTCGCTCACTCTGAATAATTACCATTGCCGAAACCACCGGAAAATGTTAATACTTACGAAGATTCCAAAAGTAATCAAGAATGTGGGAATGAACAAAGCCCAAACACAAAGGACCCTAATTTCGGACCCAGGACATCTGATGGACCTTATCTTATAACGCAAGACGATTTGAACTATCTAGGGTGCAATTTAAAATTGTTCAAAAAGAAGAGTGAAATCTTAGGATCATCATTAAAGGGTTCGAAATTATTGGATCCAAAAACGAAAATGTCCTAATTT